CTATCACCACGTTGCTCCCTAATTCCCAGAGGTTGTATAATGTATAGTGAACACATGTTTTATTACATGGGGAGGGCAGACTGGAGGAACAAATAGGACCAAGGAATGGGCTACCCACTCCCCATTATTCCACTACGTGTTTTGGGCTGTGCCATTCCAATGTGGCTTTTGAAACCACATTTTGAAGCAAAGAAGCAATCAGTCTGCAGTTCCAAGTCTTATTGTGGAATGTACAGTTTGTTCTTTCTGGTTAGTTTTCTGCAGTTGCACCTAGAAAGAACGTATATATGAATACACAGAGCATCAGGCTTCAGATACTTTGGATTCCACATTTTTTTTCCTTGTTCCTTAGCCACTAGCTCCTCTAAATATGCAGGCTGGCTAGAAAGATCACTCAGTGTAAATATCAACACAGGGCTTTTCTCCAAGCCTGAGGTTGCTTCCAGATGGAGAGCTCCTCTTGCTAGCAATTAGAAGGCACTAGTGCAGCTATAATGGATTTTCCCCAGTCCAGAAGAAAAGACAAACGCAGAAGTGGAAAAACAAGGGAGGTTGATGAGTGGAAGACAATGTGGAGTAAAGCCCCATAAAATTAAGTGAATAGGACAGAGTGATGACGGGATAATAGTCTCCTCTGAGATTGCTTCTATGCGTTTTCAAACTACAGCACCTGCACTTTTTGTCTTTTTATAAATTAAACAGAGTTGGTCTAAACCCTTTTTAGTCTACAAACGTGGCACAATATAGGCAAAGGTAATTACATTCAATTGCCACTGATTTCCAGATGAGTTACACCTACCCACTCACATGCACACGCTCAGACATCTTTCCCACTGAAACCGAAAGGACTTGAAAGTAATTGACTTTGACTCAGTCTCACTCATTTTAGTCCATTAGGCTCAGAGATTGGCCTTAACTTCTTCTATGGTGATCAGCTCCCATTCCCCATTAATTATTCTTCCTGCATTTAAAAAAATCTATCTTAAAAAAATGAAGTATAGGATCACCAACACACTATTCCATACAAGAGTACTGAAAAACTGTAAGAGTAGTGATAATTCCCTAATCATAGCAGCTTTAGAACACCAAGTAGAGTAATCTGTTTTGATTAGCAGCTCTAGGGAGGAAAAAAGAATTACAGTCTTAGAGTAATTTTGAATAAAAGTTCAAATCAAATTATGCAAATAGCAAAGCATGGTTAAAGAATGAACTCTACAGAATATCCTGCAGAAATATCATTAAATTAAAAATGAAATTGCTTAAAAACAGGGTTTTGTGGTATTATGTTGAGCTGTATTCAAGCATCACTGCTTGGTGTTGGGAATAATTTTATTCAGTCTCTTTACATACTACAAAGTACTTAATGCTTAATAACTGCTCAGCCTTGCACAGCTAGTCACCTCTGACACATTCTTACACCAAACCCTTGGAATATTTCTTATTCAACTCAATGTAGTTTTTTTTTTTGTTGTTTTTTTTTTGACTGGAGGACCTGCAACCAATTTAAACATTCCTTTTCAGGAATATGTTTTTTTAAAAACATATATGTTATATGGATTTCATTTTTAATTTTAAAAAAGCAACATTTCAACTTATTGACGAAGAAGAACGCAGTTAATATCAGTCACTGAAGCAACAAATACTGCTCCTTCTAGATGGAGCCAAAACAGGAGTACAGAGCAACAAGTCAGAAATGTCAGTATATTTGGGAAATTCCAGTTTTGCAGAAGTACAAAAACATTATATAGATCAACCTTTCTGAGCTGGAACCCCCTTTTATAATAGCCAAGTAACCTGCAACCCCCTTTCCACATTACTGTGACCTCCTCTGTCCCTGTCTTCTCATGGGTTAGGTTTTGTTGCACTGAGTAAACCTGCACAGGATTACACTACTAATTGGCAAGGCTATGAGGCTATACTTATTTGGGTATCATTAATTACTCTCCAGCTCCCACGTGACTTGTTTCTGAGGAAATGAATTGGAGCTGGGTTTGTGATTCTGCTGTAATCTCTCTCTCTCTCTCTCTCTCTCTCTCTGTGTGTGTGTGTGTGTGCGTGTGCATGTGTGTGCGTGCGCGTCCATGTGTGCATGTGTGTGCCAACTTTGACTACATGTTGTTGCAAAATTCTTTACAGTTTTCCTTCCTCCTTCACTAACAAGGAGTGAAATGGAAAGACACGCATATACTCCCACATACAAACTACTTGTCTTTACACTTCAGATTTTAAGCAATACTCGACTGAGGCGGTGTCAGGAAACCAGAAGTGTGCAGGAACAGGGCTTGTGTGGAGGGGAGAAGCAGCTTACTCCAAAAGTAGCACCAGGGTGGAATCAAGGCAAAATTCCCCTGGCAGATACTGTCCCCCCCCCCTTTGCCAATGCCAAAGCTGTCTAGTAGCTCAGGAAATGTGGTGAAAATTTCCACCTTCCATGAAAAGAAAAAGTGGGAAAGGGGAAGGTTATGGCAGTGGCTCACATGCTGATGCCCTTGTCCCCTGGTTGGGAATAAGCGGCACTGAACCCAACGGTCTGCAATTGGACACGTATGGAATTCAGTTTAAAATAATTGCAACTAAAAATAACTATGATGACCCTTCTCCAAAAAATACTTTGCAACCCCCTTGGGAATTGTGACCCACAGTTTGGGAACCAGTGATATAGATACATATAGAGAGCACTCTCCCAATACATTCCAATAAGAACTGTTCCTCCTCAATGGAATGTTAAAAAAAAAAGTTACAACATCATACAGTGGGGTCTCTACTTAAGAATAAAAAAAGTTACAACATCATATTCCTAATAGAATTATATTCTCCTTTCCCAGGTATTTCTGCAGCACGGGCTAAACATGTAATATGGGTGTAGTTCTTCCTAACAGCAAACAGGTAACCCAGCTTCTACCCACCCCTGACCCTGGATTGTTAGCCATGTTAATCTGTTGCAGAATTCTGTAGCAGCTCTAAAACTAACATTTTTTTTTAATCTGGCAAAAATTCTTGTGGATTGAAGCCCACTTCTTCAGATCCACAGAACACTGCTCCAGGAGACAGACATTTATATTCAATAATGAAGTAGGCAAGAGTATTGCTTATTTAATTTATTTAAACTATTTTACTCCTGCCTTTCTCCTTAAAAGGACCCAAGGCAGCTAAACAGTATGAATTATAATGGTAATTGTAAGATCTTGGACTGCCATCCCATAGGATTGCTAACAGCCCGTAACAACAACTGTTTGATGATCACCATGCCAGACCTCTTGCATTTCCATTTCCATAATAATACACAATTTTTGGTTCATATGGATTTACCCTCGCTCATCTTATTATTCCTGTCTATGAAGAAATTTGTGTAGCCATAGATGGTAAACCACTAGCAGCAATCTCGAACAGTAAACAAAGAGATATATGCATTTTGACATCCTTCACAAAGACATGTACATTTCATTACAAGATTAGTGTGAAGTCTCAGAAGTGAATCAATACAGTAATTGAAAGCACAAACATCTGTCTCTTCTGTTCTCAAAAAACAAAATATGTTTCCTTGCCACTGTATTTAGACAGGATTAAAGGTACATTTGCCAGGTTTATTGAAATAGCATTAGTCTCTGTGCTTCTTGTACATATTGGTTCTGCACAATAACACTCAAACATGAACATCAACTTGCTGATGGAAGGGGAAGAAAGGTGAACTTGGGAAAGAGAAATAAGGAATTGATATCAGCAGTGATATTTAGAAGAGGAATAAATGTTTTGGGAACAATTGGCAGTCCCGGTGAATAACAAAGCTACAGTGGTGCCTCAATTTACGACCGTCCCTACTTACGACCATTTCAAGTTACGACCAGTTCAGTCCACAAAATTTTGCTTCGACAAAAAGGCAGGGGGGAAAGGCGGGAAATTCAAATTTCTATCTCTAGGTGGTGACGAGGCTGTTTCTTTGTAGCTCTTTCACCCCGGCAGTTAGAGAGTGTGTGTCGTAGGAGGCTCGGGACTGCCTCGCTTCTGCTTCTGAGTGAGCATGTGTGTGTGTCTGCAGGGAGGCCTCGGGCTGCTTGGTAAGGTAAGGTGCTGTTTTCTGCTTTTCAAAAACTGTTCTGGCTGGGTTTTGCATCATGGTTTTCGGGAGGGTATGTTTCTGTGCTGTGTTGTTGTTTTGTTTTTTGGGGGGTTTTGCAGCCCTAGCGCCGGGGCTTGCTTTGCTGTTTATTTTTGGTTTCAGGCTTTTTAAAGCCCCATCCACAGAGCTTGCTATGCTGTTTGTTTGTTTATTTAAAGGTCCAGTCACGGAGTTTGCTTCACTGTTTATTTTTGGGTTTTTTAAAAGCCCCAGCCACGGACCTTGCTTTGCTGTTTATTTCTGTGTTGTTGTTTTTAAGCCTCAGCACCTTCCGACCGGGTTTGCTGTGTGCTTAATTTTTTGTGTGTGGGGGTTTTTTTTTGCCAGAATGGATTAATTGTATTCCAATGCATTTCAGTGGGAAATGGTGCTTCGACTTATGACCATTTCGAGTTACATTCATCTTCTGGAATGGATTATGGGTGTAAGTCGAGGCACCACTGTATTAGGAAATTTACTGTGTATTTGAGTGCCCAGAGCAATTTTCACACTACGGGCAAAATCCTGTTGGCATAATTTTGCACCTGTTTAATCCAGACCCGAGTGCTGGAAATGTGGAATTAATAGTAATTAAAAGCTTCCTATCCCCTCATTTTAGTTTCCAATGCACCCTGGGGGTCGCTTTTGCTCTAGGGAAGCCTTTGGAAGACCCAATACTAGAGGGGAGCCCTTAAAAGTAAAAAATTCACCACTGGACCACTGCTGGGATCAGGAATGCTGCTTACAATCCAACAGTGATTTTTTTGGGGGGTTTGGTTGTTGTTTTTACTTTTAAGGACTTCCCTCTCCTCATCTCATGGCTCTCAAAGAATCCCCTAGGGCAAAAGGGAGCAGAGACAGCGACTCTCGTAGCAATGACCTGCTCCCAGAGAAATAACATTACCTGCTGAACATCTTGCTGGAAAACGCAAAGTTGAAGCCTTTGATGTAACCGGACCTTCCTGTGCTGCCAAATGCTCTCCAAGCGCCGTTGGTGATGTAACACTTCATGAACCACATCCAAAACTTGGTGAACAGCCTTGGAATAATTAGCTGTAGCAGTGAGAGATTCCGAGTTCCCAGGACTCAAAGGACGCTGCAAGACATCCAGCAAAGCCTTTCCATCCTGGCTTACCTGTAAGAGTAAAGAATGAATGTCCATTAAGCATAAAAGTTACGACTGCACATACATTTTTGCTGCAATTCAAAATTCATACATAATTCAAAAGGGAGCTTTTTCTATCTTTTTTTCTTTTGCAGCCCTTGTAAATTTGGCTGGAACTGCAAAAGGTAATTGTATTATTTTATTTCCCAGGTTGGAATATGTAATTCACAAATTTCACTTTCATCTTAAAAAAACTTGAGAGAAGTACTTCCCCATTTATCATTTTTTAATTTACTCCTGTGAAGGGATGTTCTAAGATTTAATGCCAGTGAATACTGTATGCAGAAGAATAGAACTGCCTTTAGTTAACGCTAATTCTAGAAAGCAGGATAAGAGTCCAAATAGTATTCTTGAAAAATTTCCTTGTAGCCTGTTATTAAAACATGCCTATAAATTAGAACCTCAGTAATTACTTTGCAAGACAATTGTTAAATACAGTACTTTATTTTCAATAAGACTGCAGGAATTGCTATTTGGTTTAACGTTTTTCTTTTAAGGAAAACTTTGTAGTGACAATGTTTTTGTTATGTATACTATAGAAACACGAAGAAAGAGAACAAGTAGTCTTAATCCTGAAAATCTCTATGACTGAATGAATGGATGAATGTATGAATGGGTTCTAAAAGAAACCAATTGTTGACCGAAATAAGGAGTTAGCTTCACCCAATGCCTTCCACTTTCTCTTTAAGAATTAAAATTGCTGTAAGTCTGTTTTCAAGGACTGTTCAAGGTCTAAGTAAATATAGTAGGCATCCTTCAGTCTCGAAAGATTATGGTAGCGTGCTATGTATGAAGGACTTGGAACAGCGCCTAGTGTGGCTGAGGAGGCCAATTCGAGAGTTACAATCTCTTCCACACTGAAGACAAATCCAATCTGTCCCCTGTCCAGCTCCCTGGTTTTGCTTCCTTTGTGACTTCCTCTTTGCCTCGGCCTGCTGGACAAGGGTCTCTTCAAATTGGGAGAGGCCGTGATGTACCGCCTGCCTCCAGGCTGAACGATCAGATGTCAGAGTTTCCCATCTGTTGAGGTCTATTCCTAAGGCCTTCAGATCCCGCTTGCAGATATCCTTGTATCGCAGCTGTGGTCTCCCTCTGGGGCGCTTTCCCTGCACTAATTCTCCATAGAGGAGATCCTTTGGAATCCGACCATCAGCCATTCTCACAACGTGCCCAAGCCAGCATAGACGTCGCTGTTTCAGTAATGTATGCATGCTGAAAATTCCAGCTCGTTCTAGGACTACTCTATTTGGAACTCTGTCCTGCCAGGTGATACCAAAAATCCGTCGGAGGCAACGCATATGGAAGGTGTTCAGCTTCCTCTCCTGCCGGGCACAAAGTGTCCAGGACTCACTGCAGTACAGGAGTGTGCTCAGGACACAGGCTCTATAGACCTGGATCTTGGTATGTGTTGTCAGTTTCTTATTGAGCCATACTCTCTTTGTGAGTCTAGAGAACATGGTGGCTGCTTTCCCAATGCGTTTATCCAGCTCGACATCTAGAGAGAGGGTGTCAGAGATGGTTGAGCCAAGGTACACAAAGTCATGAACAACCTCCAATTCTTGTGTGGAGATGGTAATAGAGGGAGGTGAGTCCACACCCTGGCCCATGACTTGTGTTTTCTTCAGGCTGATTGTTAGTCCAAAGTCTTGGCAGGCATTGCTGAAATGATTCATGAGTTGTTGGAGGTCTTCAGCAGAGTGGGCAACAATGGCTGCATCGTCTGCAAAGAGGAAGTCCCTCATGCATTTCAGCTGGACTTTGGTCTTTGCTCTCAATCTAGAGAGATTAAAGAGCTTTCCATCTGATCTAGTCCGGAGATAGACACCTTCTGTTGCAGTTCCAAAGGCATGCTTCAGCATGACAGCAAAAAAGATCCCAAAAAGTGTTGGTGCGAGGACACAGCCCTGTTTCACTCCGCTTCGGATGTCAAAGGGATCTGATGTTGAGCCGTCAAAAACTACAGTGCCTTTCATTCCATCGTGGAAGGACCTGATGATGTTAAGGAGACGAGGTGGACATCCAATCTTGGGAAGTATTTTGAAAAGGCCATCCCTGCTAATCAAGTCAAATGCTTTTGTAAGGTCTATGAAGGCCACTAAGAGTGGCTGTTGTATATGTACATATACTATATATAAATTGGATGCAGCAATACGTATAAGAACACATACCCATAGACAGATATATAATTAAATTTGCTACACTGGTATATTTTTCTTATTCTTTTTCTTTTTGCAATTCTTCAAGAATGATACCTTGTTGAATTCATCAGCATATGTTGATGTATTTCAGAATAACTTTCCTTCTTCCTGACACAAAAAGCACAGGATGCACAATCTAATCCAGAACTCTAGTAGCACCTCCTACTAGAAGTTTACATGTGACTCTCTTGACCATATGCATAAAAAGCTAGTGAGAGTTTTTTAATTGGTGATGTATTTTCTTTACTTTCAGCCCCCAAGTAAGGTAAATTATTCCAAAATGAGTGAGCATATCTGAATCATCATTTCCCCCTATTACTTAACACTAAATGCTTTGCATTTTTCTTACCAACAACACTTTTGGTTCTAAAAGAAGTAGTTGTGTTTTAGTCTTTGCTCTTTTTTTCTTTTTGTTACTGCTTCAGTCAACATGCCATATGAAAAAAGAAAGATTGGTCGTCTGGCAGTCTTGTTACTAGGTAGGCTGGGAGAGATTTACTACTTTCATTATATTTCTTTTTTAAAATGTTGTACAGTATTCTGATCTGCAACAGGGTGCTTTGGGCAAGAAGACAGTCTGGATATTGCAGTACCTAGGAGAATTCCCAGTGAGTCACTGGCTCAGATAATGTCAGGAACCAGACCCAAGTCTTTTACATTTTAACCCTGAATCCCCCCCATCAGACTCCACCTCTCTTTACAAAGCAGAAACTCATAAAAGGATAAGCTCTCTGGCCTGTCCCCTGCCTTCACCCTCCCTCCAGCAACTCTAGTCAGTGGCAAAAAGTGATGTTGGCAAACTGGCTTTGTGGACTGTGAAGCTCTTGGAGATGGGTGTTCTGTCCCACTACTGGAGGTAGACTCAGGGGCAGAGGTGGTTGGTCATAATGGTGCTTTGTTCCAGTGCTTTCTCTGTTAACTTTAATGCTTCTTGTGTTGTCACCGGCCTGGCGTGCTCTGGTCCATGGGGTCATGAAGAGTTGGACATGACTAAACAACTAAACAACAACAACAACTGTTGTCACTGAAATTCCTTAGCTTCTGGGTCTTATTTTTGCTTTTATAAAAGTAATAATAAGTAGACAATAAAATCCCTGCACTTGGTGCATAAGTGAGAATCTTGATAGTGTAAAAAATAGCACTGCTCATTTAACAAACAACAAACATGTGCCAGACAACCACCAACACTGCAGCCACCTTTCCACCATGAAGGCTAGAAAATACAGATTGCACAGGGAAAACACCCACACTTAAGCTTTTTATGTTTTCTGTTTACATTTGAATTGTGAACAGAGGACCGGGAGCTTTCCATGAATATACTGTATGCTGTGTAACTTCGGTATACAGTATATCTAAGAACCCCACAGCTGTACTGTAAATAGAAGCACATATAATGCATGCCATTTATGTGATTAATTTTGCATGAAATCTTTGGAGCCTATCATTTGAAACAAGTTAGTTTAAAATTTAATGTGCAATCTTTTCTGCACAGATTACACATAGTGCTTGTTATTTAGAATTAAAGATGACCATGGTGATACTATAATAGCCCACTCTTTCTCCTGCCATGTTAGCTGGTGCTTTTGTTTTCAGACAGCTGGGCTTACTGTGATGCTACATAGATTAGATAGTTGAATCAAGGAAAGCCAATATAATTAATCAGCCTTCACTAATTTCCAGCCAGGATAGGAACAAGCAAAGGTACAGGGAAATCTTATCTACAACAATCAACTTGATTTCTATTCTATTCTATTCTATTCTATTCTATTCTATTCTATTCTATTCTTCACATGTACGAGGAAGGGGATTATGATCCATGAAACCTCACAGTGAAATAAAACCACTAATTTTAAAAGTGTTGCACAATTTTTTTCCTCTCCCCTTTTTTCTCCCCCCTTTTCTTGTCTTTTGTCAAGATGTTGGGACACACTAACACAGCTGATTTTTTTGAGGAATTTTACTATACAAACCCTGGCAAGTCATTTGTTTCTTTCTCTAAGATGGGTGCACCTTAGACAGAGCTGAAAAATGCACACCTACCACAGAAGAGATAAAGGAGACAAGCGGATAGCTGAACATACACCAGAGTAGACCTTAACACAGATGATCGTGGGTGCCTTGAGTCTCTTTTACTCTCCTTCAAATGCAGCAAATAATGTACAAAACTACTACCAACAACAACAACAACAACAACAATTGACTAGTCACCACTTGAGTAAGTTTTAAGGAAGTGGTAGTCAAATAAATGGGGTACATGTATGCATAGAATTGTCCATGATACCTTAGAAAGTGTTGAACCAGATGATTTTGAGGACTACTTCAGATGAGATTTCTTCTTTGCTTTCTACTTGCATTTCACCGAATGATTAATAGTTCAGATTTACTTAGCTTCTGTTTTGCTTTGTACTAACTGTACAGTACTACCTCAGCAGGTGTATTAAGAGGTAGGTCCACCTGTGTTCAGTGGGGTTCATCCCCTAGTAAGAGTTCTTATAACTGCAGTTTAAGGCTGTAATTCCATTCACATTTTTCTGAGAGTAAGCCAATGAGTTCCTTCTGTACATCTATGCTCAGTTAAGCTCTTGTGTGAATGAAAAATTACATGATGCTAGAAAAGAATGACAGAAGACTCATTAGCTCAGCTTCTCAAGCAGCCAAATTAGCATCACAATGAAATGCCATATATATATTCTGTGAATTAGCCATCTAATAACCTCTCTGCACTCCAAATACATATCCTACAATCTCTATTAATTACAGTGCACAATCTGCAAGAAGTTATTACAGTCTTTTATAGAAACACTCACCTCGGTGTAAGCCTGGGTGACCTGTTCATAAAGGGACTGATGATGATGGATGGCCAGTTCCAGATCTTGCATTTCTGATGGGAGGCCTCCTTCACTGCACATTTTACACCAAGCATCGACACCAGAGAGGAACTAAGAGAGGAAATTAAAATATGACTTTATCAGGTTGCAACAAACTGACATCTAGCAATACAAGTTTTTAACAACTACAAAATTAAATATAGTCCATTTGAAACACAAAACCTCACAACACAACAACAGAGTGAATGAGACAGAGTCTTTTTACAAGGAGAAATCAGGTTCTGGAACCACATAATTGAATAATTAATTCTGTGTTCCTAAAAACCCTCAGAGATTATGGCTGCAACCAACAAGACCCCTACTCTCAAATGGTAAAGAGCCAAATAGCAATGGACAGTTCCCATAGGTTCAAAATCATCTGTAATAATGGTGGTGGTGGTAGGGGTACCCTTCTAAAAGGAAAATAGAAAGGAAACAAAAACTGCTTAAACATATACAATATAGCCCCTAGAAGGTAAAGGTAAAGGTTCCCCTTGACAATTTTTGTCCAGTTGTGTTCGACTCTAGGGGGCGGTGCTCATCCCCGTTTCCAAGCCATAGAGCCAACGTTTGTCCGAAGACAATCTTCCGTGGTCACATGGCCAGTGCGACTTAGACACGGAACACTGTTACCTTCCCACCGAAGTGGTCCCTATTTCTCTACAGTACTTGCATTTACATGCTTTCGAAGCGCTAGGTTGGTGGGAGCTGGGACAAGCGACGGGCCCTCACTCCGCCACGTGGATTAAAACTTACAGGTGAAGATCTACAGACCTTACAGCACAGAGGCTTCTGCGGTTTAACCCACAGCGCCACCACTTCCTTATATAGCCCCTACAATAAGCCTAAGGAAGCTCACAAGTTCCTGAATTAAGATAGAACAGAATACACAAAGCAGAGCCAAAATGCCATGCTTTGTTAAATGCATAAATATTTATCTATAAGAACTGAAGTAAACTACGATTCACTAGTTTAAGGCAACCTGCAGAGTAATTTCCTGAAGGTAAGGAAATTCTGCTTTTTAACAGAATATGTGAAGCATTTAATCTCTTAAAATGGACAACAGGCAGTTCTTGAAACTACCATCCTACAGAAAAGCCAAGCATGAAAGGAAGAATTTGAAGTAATTCAATTTTTATTACCCCTTTGTTGTACATGACATCTCTCAAAATCCTTCATCTTATACACTATGAAAAGCACAGAAGCTCCATCATATTTTGCATCTCTAAGGGCTACTTAAAGCAGCAGGATCAGGCCACCACCAGCTTTCCAAAACAGCCAGTGAAAAACTTTTTTCAGCTTCCTTTAAAATCGAGTTAGTGGCTATATACTCCAGGGAAGAACATTTTTATCATTTCCTCTCTCCATTTCTATGCAGAGAAGACCAATCCACACATTCCCTGTCATAAGCACCTCTTCTGGCAGTAAAATAACATACTGTTGAAAAAATAAACAGTTTGTTATCCCTTCATGACATCCAACATCTGCTGACTAGGACAGTCACTTCTAATAGAAGGACCAACCCAGCCCCCATCTCAAGATTTCACATAATAAATGGTAGCTATATATTAGTTTTTAAGTGAGTTTTACCACCCCTCAGAAACACATGGACTATTTTTCTTGGGAGGGAGACTAACTGCAGCTCATAAAGAGCTTCAAAATAATACAAGGTGGTTTAAAAAAAAAAATTCCACAGGATAGAGATGAGCTTCAGGAAAAATGAACAATCTTGTCTGATTAACTGCAGCCGAATAACCCAACACAGAAGAGGCAGAGTCTATATAGAAGCTATTTATACCCTTCCTAGAAGCTCAAGTTATTATCCTTTAGACCAAACTTGCTGTCCCCAAATTGCACTATTTCAGAAGCATGTGACACAGAATGAACTGTTGACTTGATTTTCAGCTTCTTCTGATTAGGTGAGGCAAATCCTACTGCATGAAATGCTACAGCTCATATTCCTATTGTGCTTGGTTCAAAGGTTTTGTAGCATACTTTACAATAACCATTGCCTTTGTCTCCAGGAACAGGTGATAGCCATGGAATAAACTCATCATGAAATTTGATATCCAGCCATTGCATATTCAAATCTGTCATTTTAAATGCCATTTTCAATGTGTGGCTTCAAATACAACATTGCACAGAAACACCTGCTTGATACCAAGATTTTTTTTTATCTGGCAAGTACAAACTTTCCAAAGCTGGGTCTACTTTTCTGAGTTCCAGAAAATGTAATAAGCAAATAAGCATCAGGGAAGGAGGCAGTGTTAAGTACTTGCATTTATGCAATCTGAGAGAAGTAGACAACCTCTTCTACAAGTCCTGTGTATTGGAGGAATCAGAGAAAAGAGTAAAAGAGCTGTTTCTCTGTGAACTGCAGGAGGAACATACAATCTCATTTGCAAACATCATTTTGAATTATGCAAAGGGGTTGAAGTCCTGGCTCCACAGTTCCACTGGAGATGCTAGACTGACAGGGCTTGTTCTCCTAAGTGTTCATTCAACACTTAAAAACAAAACTGATTATGTGATTTCCTGCTTTGCAGCAAGATGGAAAAAAAACCAGTCTAATTTTGTTTTTTAAGTGACATATTATTTTACATTTTGGAGGATACAGATCACATTGACCCATAATGTCCTCCTGCCCAAAGGAGCAACGGCAATAATGGAAATCTTCAGTGCCAAAACATGGAGTGTCCTTTGCTGCTCCAGCATTCTTTCAGGCTGGTAGAAAGTGGACTTCCATTGAGTTGCCACATCCAGGATTAGGTGAGGCGGTAGTAATCACAATTTTTCTTGACTCTGCTGTAACAGCTCACTGCCCAGACACTGTGCTGAAAATGCCCTGTTATCATTTTGGCCCACTCAATTATATTAGGTATGCATTGTTTTCCATATCCTGTAAAGTACCCCAAATTACTAGATTGAAAAGGTGGGCCATACACCACACCAATGTCATCTTCCCAGCCTGTACTGCGACCACCATGATTGCCTCATTGCCTGTGAAAAACAGACATTGCCTTTCTGTAGCTAGACTCCATTGATGCAGCATGTTCATTAGAGCCTCTTGAACGTTGAGAACTACGTGGCTGCTGCCATCACAGCTACATTCAACAGGGCCCACCTGCATTCTGACCTTGTGTGTTGCCCTATGCCTGATGCCTCCACCTCTCACCAGAGTCCTTTAAGGGAGAAAAGCATATTTTGCACCCTGGCTGCTCCAGATGCCACTTATGTATCCCCTGTGCCCTGGCCAACTGCTGCTTTACCAGTCACCTGACCCTATGCTAGGCATCCTTCAGTCTCTGGAGGACTTGGAACAGCGTCTAGTGTGGCTGAGAAGGCCAATTCGAGAGTGGCAATCCCTTTCCATGTTGTTTCGATGCTATATGCAAAACTGGAGTGTCCTCTTCAGAGCATGAAGCCTGGGTAAAATAATATAGGCTGTTACCCGAGCAAAACTCCCCTCTCCACGTCGCTGAAGTAGTCCAAGGGAAAGGCAAGAGCGAATACAATTGGTTCCAGCGATGTCACAGAAGTCGGCAGAATGACACAAACTGCCTCCGGGACTCCGGCTCCAGATTTTGCCTAAAGGTTAACTCCTGAAGCCTTTTCCATCAGTGGATATAACCACAAGGCAGTGGAGGTTTGAAATTGGAGTTTTCCTTCTCCTAGATGGGCTGCCTTCCAAGGCTGATGAGCCTCACCTACCCGGCCTGCTTCCTAAGAGTGTGGAAGTATGATCCAACCCCTAAAACTTTCCTGACCCCCCCAGGTGTATGCAATGCTATTTGCCTTTCCTATTTACCAGATTAGAGTAAAAACAAAAATAGAATCAGAGAATTTTATTTAGTGCTTCTACTCGCATTCATTTAAAGCCAAACCCCCGCTCCCTTAGACCATGTGGTCAGGGAGAGCAAAGGTCTGCCTAGAAAAATATACCTCCCCCCCCAAAAAAAGATGTGCTTCCAAGAGAGCTCACCTTCTGCCTCAGCTTCCTCCTTAGAGAAAGGGCTTAGAACTACAGCTCACACTCATTTAAAGCCAAACTTCCATCGCCTTAGACCATGTGGTCAGGGAGAGCAAAGGTCTGCCTAGAAAAATATACCTCCCCCCCCCAAAAAAAATGCTCCCAACAGAGCTCACCTTCTGTCTCAGTTTCCTCCTTCACCTGACACCGCAAAATAAATCTCATACTGCCATGTGGCTAAGGGTTGTAAGGGATGGCAATTGGTAACAGAATGCCAATTCTGCCACAAACCCATGGAAACCAGTGTGACCCACCAAAGAGAATGATTACCCAGGGCTATAATCTCCCCTAGGAGATAAATAATCCTAGCATTTTTGCATTTTCAGAAGGCCTTTTCCTGCACCCCTCCCAGTTCCTCCAGGTGCCTGAGCATGCCGCTATTAGCGAGATGACCCACGTTCTGCCCACACTTGAGCACCTTCTTTCAGTGCATGCACTCAGCCATCTGTTGCACACTGCTGAAAATGCTTCCAGAATATTGACTTCTCAGGAGCTCCAGTTTTTGACTGCTTGTTGCTTACAGGGATTGCTAACTTGTCATAACTACTAATTTCAGCAACAAGTGGGGCAAGCAATGCTAAAGGGGTAGGGGTGATTTCAGTGTCACATGCTTCTGAAATAGGACCCACCTGAGTCACCTCAGTTTCCTCCTCCAAGATGTCATATGTGAATGTATTTAAAAGATAGCTCCCATCAACTACAATGCACATGAGAGATTGGCTGGGACTGAGGACTGGGGATAAACCCTTCCTTAAATATGATGGAGCTGCATGGTATGGATATGGAAGGCAATGCTCTTCATACATATCTTTTCCCATCATTCCTGTTGCCCAAGCTGACAGTGTCAATCTGAGTGCTGATGCCACCCTTGTCTTTTTCTGACACATCAGCTTTTTGGGAGAAAAGTGCCTTCTTCACCATCTTTTATGGCACCTTGCCCTGGCTGGATTGCACAAAGATGTCACTGGAACAAGTCTGATGTTCACTCCTCTCTGACCCAGCTTGACCCAAATCCTTTTATACCACCTCTTTGGTAGAGACACAAACCCTCTCCTGCAGACTGTTGCTGTTTCTTAGTGTCAGGGATTAACAAAGCAACTGAGTGACAGATTCATAAAAGCAGTTGTAGATTGTCTTTCCCCTCTCCCACTCCTCTCAGTAGAACCACAGTGGGTGCAGACAGCCTTCCTGCAGCCTTCCCCAAAAGCGTACTTCCCCTACCACACTCATGTTTCATGCTACCTACATATTCTACACAAAGAATATTCTGCTACAGCAGAATACAAACCCTTCCAATGAAAATCACACATGCACAGAAACAAAATCTATTACTTAATATGTCTATATGTAACAAAACCTTATTTCCCTGCCCGATACATCCCAAAGGGTCCGAAACCTAATATTATATTTTCCTGTTGATTTATATTGATCTATGAATCTACTAAACCTAAATCTTATCCCTAACAATACAAAGTCAAAAATACACAATGAGATTTAGAAACAATAAATGTTAGTTGAGGGTTCAGAAAAAGACACAGAGAAAAGTGTACACTTCTAATGACTACTTGGTAGTACTGCCTTCTGACTCTAGTAGTATTTAGTCCAAAGTAAATATGCATGTTTAACCACATTGTTAAAGAACAGAATAGTGTCAACTCCAGTCCGAACTAGAGGCTCATTGGATGTATACATTTATACATTTACATGTATATTTATTTACATGTTTATTTATGCACATGTTTTTTATTTATTTAAAATATTTTTACCCCACTTTTCTCCTCTAAAAAGACCCAAAGCAGTTTAGAAAATACAGTATTTGAAGCTAAAAACAGTAAATATACAAATACTAAAAATTATCAAGCAAATACCACACTAAAAATGGCAAACAAAATCAGAAACACATTCAGGAATCTGTTCCTTGGAACTGGTAGCTATACAGTATATCACAGAAGTGAGTACACCCCCTCACATTTCATAAATATTTTAGTATATCTTTTCACATGACAACACTGAAGAAATGACACTTGGCTACAATGTAAGTGAGTATTCAACTTGTATAACAAAGCAGTGAGCATTCAGCTTGTATAACAACGTAAACGTGCTGTCCCCTCAAAATAATGCAACTCACAGCCACTAATGTCTAAACTGCTGTCAACAAAAGTGAGGGTTAAGGCTGAAATAAATAGCCCAGGAAATCTCTAATACAGGCATTATTGAAAAAGGACCAAAAGAAAACCAGCCAGTTCTACAGGTTTCTTTAAGAAAAAGAATCTCAGATTTTACAACAAAATGGCAAATCACTGAGGAATGAACAGGAGCTCTTTTAAGGACCCCCATCCTAAACAGGCATAGTCAGAGATAATTTCTACCTAAACTTCTTAGTCCTGTCTATTTGGAACATCTATTGTCCAAGGTATTCAAGAGACATCTCCAGTGAGAAGTTGTAGGAAAACACCTGCAGAATCTAGTTTTGGTTGAGGTGGACGCTAGAAACCACTACGGATTAAAACAACTATCATGGCACAGTGTTGCTGTATCCCAATGCAAAAAAGATATGATGACTCAGAACCAATTGTTTAATGCTGTCTTGTTCTCCAAGGTAGTGTTCAAGTTACTAAGAAGGCTATCACAAACATCATGAAATGGATTCCAGATACCTAAAGGTGATCCAGCGTGGGTGGTGCCAAAGCACCTATAACTTGATGATAAGCATGCATGGATCTGTGGTGATTTTTCAGGCTTTAAATAACTTATTTTCCATCACTGATAATTGAATCTAGCATATGGGAAGAAGTTCTCCATTCCTCTTTTATACCACCATAAAATGCATGTTTTGCATGTTTGTTTAGACATAATTCCAACTCTTTTCAGTGCAGTTTATTTCTAGGTAACTGCTTACAAGCTTGCAGACTTTACTTGATCATAGATAAAGATAGAGAAACAGACAGATGGCTTGAGAGATTGACAGAGAGAGAGAGAGAGAGAGAGAGAGAGAGAGAGAGAGAATTAAAACTTGGGATCAACCAAAAGAATTGTGTGGGACTGGATTCAAGAAACACAAAAGGAGAATGTAATATGCATAAGTTAGTGGCATGAGATGAGGCAGTGGCAACCGTTTTAAATGGCCTTGAAACAAAATTAGAGAAATCTGTGGAGAGATCTATCAGTGACTATTGCCTTCATGCTTTGCCAGTGGGCTTCCCAGAGGTATCTTGTTATGTACTGTAGAAAGAAGAATAAAGGACTATGCTGTTCTTTGATCTCAACTAGCAAGGCTCTTCTTTTGCTTGTATGTGAACAGCCTCCCAACATTTTCAGAGAATCTGCTCCAAACTGAATCAGTGTGTGTAGAAACAAAACAGAATGGAAAAGAAGGGAACAGAAATGGAAAGGTTTTGTCCACACAACTGAAACTTATCTTATTTCTTCTTCTTTTGTTCAATATCTCATTGTCTTTTGTATTTTCTGATTTTTTCGATTTTCTTCATTGGTACAATTTATTCCTGTACTATACAGTACTTTGCAGATATATATAGCATATGTATATGCAAGATGTTATGCAGCACCAATATTATAGAAAAAGACACAATGAAATATAGTAATCTCCCTGTATCCATTGGTGATCTGTTCCAGGATCAACTGTGGATATTTGAAGCTGCAGATACAAGAGAACTGGTTCAAGAGAGCAAAAGGAGGGGGAGGGTAAAAGGAGGAGATAAAAGCATGTGCAAACTGCAAGTTGGGTAGCAGCAATGGCATCCACAGATAACTGAAACCACAGATACCCAATTCGCAAACATGATGAGGGACTGCTCAAGAAATGAGCTAAACCATTATTGTCACCGTGTACCATCAAGTCCATCCTGTCTTATGGGGACCCTGTGAATTAAGCACCTCCAAAAAGTTTTATCATTAACATGCCTTATCTAAGCCATAGCAATTGTATTAATGGCGCTGATCACTATCTAAACCAGACAAATGCACAAATATCCCCAGCTGAGAAGTGATTTATTTGATGCATTAAAAATTACGCACCTGTTCAGCCTTCTGGTGAAACACAGCAGACATAGCCAGGATGGTGCTGCGCTCATCCAGTGCTGCAGCAAAGCTTTTCCACTCTTGATCTAGCTGAGTAGAAATCTGTTTGATTTGTTGAGATGCATAGTGGCCTGCCTCTGATAGCCTGGCTGCAACTGACATGATGCGATTTATATTCACATAGGCATTCTGGGGAGGGTGAAAAAAAGGCATATATGAGCATTGTAACCCTCTGTACTATTCATTATAAATTCATAAAACAGAAAAGAAGACAGGGGGATGGGTTAAGAGTGGGACCACATGCACATTATAACCCAGAATCTCAGAGCTGAGAGAACTGGTCATTTGAATTGCATGGTGTAGTCCTTTCTTCTTGTGGGTCCTACAGTTTGGGGTTCCACAGGGCCAATCATCTCTCCTTTGTTGTTCAACATCTATATGAGATCATTGAGAGAGGTCACTCGGAGATCATTGTCATCAGTATGCTGAGAACATGCAACTCTGCCTCCTTCTCATCATCAATGGGGGAAGCTGTCCAGACCTTGGAGCACTGCTTGGCCTCAGTTATGGACTGGATGAGGCCTAATAAGCTGAAGCTGAATCCTGACAAGATGGAGATGCTGTTATTAGGCAGGGGCCCTGACAATTTAGGGGGCTTTCTGCTTGGTCGAGATGGAGTCACACTCCCTTTGAAGGATTACGTTCATAATCTGGATGTGCTCCTGGACCCAGTCCTCTCAATGGAGGACCAGATCTTAGCCATGGCCAGGTCTGCCTTTTTTCAACTTAGGCAGATTGCTCACCTTTGGCACTACCTGGATAGGGGGTCCCTAACAACATAGGTCCATACATTGGTAATCTCAAAAATTAACTATTGCAAAGCCCTCTATGCGGAGCTATCCTTGAATGCAGTTCGGAAGCTGCAGCATGTGCAAAATTCAGTAGCTAGGTTTGTTTCAGGACCATTGAGGTAAAATAATGTCTCCCTAGTTCTGGCCCATTTGCACTGGCTGACAGTATGTTTTCAGACCAAATTCAAGGTGTATGTTGGCATACAAAACCCTGAATGGTTTGGGACCTAGCTACCTATTGGAGTACCTCTCCCTGAGATCAACCACCCATCTCACTCACACCTCCCAATCCCTAATGTTACAGGTGGTCATCCTGAAGGAGGCCCAGAAGTCTTCAACTAGAACCAGGCCTTCCCATTGATGGCCTTTTGGGGGGGGGTGGTAATTCACTACCAATGGAGGTGCCTTAGTTCTCCACCTTCCTAATGCACAGAAGACAGATAAAAACATTGCTTTTAAGACAGGCCTTTGAGAACCTTCTCCCTATTTCATTTGATTCAATTTGATTTGATTTATTTTTTAACTGTTTTATTTGAACTTGCTGTCACCGTTGTATGCATAGTTGTTTAGGTGGGTTGTAGGGGTGGGTGGGGGGTGGGTTTCTCTTTTGTTGTGGTTTTACTTTATGTTTATCTTCTGCTGTAAACTTCCTGGAATAGTGGCTTGCCATTAGATGCACGGGGTAAAAGGAGGCTGGATTCATCTTGGAGCCTGGATGCCCAGGTTTTGGCAGTGGCCAGAAATGTATTTGCACAGTTATAACTAGTGTGCCAGCTGTGCCTGTTCCTGGAGAGGTCTCATTTGACCATGAGGTGAGTGGCACACATAGAGCCATTGTCATCTTTTGTGCCTCAATCACGGCAGCTGCCTGGCAGCTGCAGCCCTACCTCCCTGCTTGCCCGGCCACTCTGGCAAGGGGACAGGATGACAACTCTCCTTGCTCAGCTGTGGAGTGGCTGGGCGAGCAGGGAGGTGGGACTGCCGCAGCCAAGCTACTGCCACAACTGGGGCACAGAAGATGACACCAGCCACATACACCGTGAGCCATGCAGTAAGTGGTCCGGTGGGTCCTAGGGGTGGGTGCTCATCAGGCCAGCCACCTGTGGCAGCAGGCTTGTATTTGTATATGAATACGAAGCCCCCATCTCTAGCCATGGTGACATATGCCTTAATTACATCCTGGATGGATTACTGTAATGGACTCTATGTGGGGCTGGAAAGTGTCAGGAAACTTCAGTGGGTCCAAAATATGGCAGCCAGATTGCTCACTGGGGCTAGACACAGGGATCATACTAAATAAACAAACAAATGCCCCACATACAAAAATGAAGATTTTGCCTAAACATTAGGAAAATCAGTTTGCCATGAAAGAAAAGCTCTTTGACAGTGGAATGGACTGTCTTGGACATTTTTAGTCTCTCTATTACTTGTGATTTTTTAAAACAAGGATGCTTTAGCCTGGATTTCCCGTTTTGGTAGAGGGATAAATTTGACTCTTCCAGCTTGAATACTGAAGTTCTATTAGCAAAAGACTTGCTCATAAATGTCTTTTCAGATTACAAAGGCTACACAATACAAATTGTAAACAAGCATTTTACTGTCTGTTTCCTGCTCCAAACCACACTTCCAAAGGAAAGGGGTCTAATATGAACAACCTTTCCTCACAAACGGCAGTCACTGGAAGATTGGAGCTCACTCTGGAAAGTTAGTGAGAAGGCAATTTAGTAATGTGCAGGGATAAAAGATTCTTGAGGTCAGGCTTTTGATTTGACAATTATACCTTAATCCTGTTACCATGGTATTTTATTATCTTTTTTGACGTTTCAGTATAGGGGTGAATAAATCTTCAACAAGGAGAGAAACATATTGAGAAATGCAAACTAGAGTGACACAATGTATCATCACACACTGTTACTGTTCCCATATATTGTGTACTCTTAATGCACAGATACACAAGTGAGTCTCCTGATTTTACACGAAAACAAAACCAGACAAATTCAAATTGTGGAATAGTGATTAATTTTGTTCTGCATCAATCTGACAGATGAACCATATAATATATCTATGTCATGTCCTTGATGATAATTGAGAAATTCTCATGCCATATGGCAAAGGCATGTATAGACAGATCCAAGAAATTACTGTAGATGGTTTGAAACTATAATGAATTTCTGTTCTTTCGCATATATTTTTAATTTGCCAAATGGGTTACACAAATTGCATAAATGTGAACACATTTGAAAATGTTTTAAAACACCTTTGCAGTTATTGTTATCTGCCACCAAGCTGGAACTGACTTATAGTGGCCCCAGTAGGGCTCTCAAGGTAAGAGAAATATTTAAGGAGTGGTTTTGCTAGCTCCACCTCTTCAGTGAGCTTCCATGGCTGAGTGGGGATTTGAACCCTGGCCTCTTGGGTCCTAGTCCATCACTCCATCCACTAGACCACACTGAGCATCTCATTAAGATTATATATTTATCTAAAACCAAAACAAACTAAGTTTTAACTGGCTTCTACAATAAGCCTTAAGAAACAAAAGGGAAGAGTAAATATTGTCAGTGTTTATTATCATGGTTTTGCATTAATTATCAAATTTTAGGGTACTAGATGTTTGAAAGGAGATGAAAGCATTTAGCTATATACTAGAGGTTTATTTTTAAAGACAATGTCAATGCAATTGACAAGTGGACGTAACAGTAGATAGATAATAGAGAAATTGATGGAAAAGGAATATGCAGTAAAATATACATAAAATAGGAAGAATACAGGCAGTGTTTAGGTAATTACGTTTAATGGCACTTTCCTTTAGCAGTTTAACTTTTGCTGTTTTGTTACAGTGAGGAAAAATGTAATTGGAAAGCTGTTAAGATGCCATAGGGATTGGGACTCAGAAATGGCCATTACTAGTGCCCATGCTGTGTAAAGCTAAGCATTACTAATCAGTACACCGCTAGTCACAGTCTTCCATGAAACTCAGCCATTAAACATTCAAAAATGCTCAGTTTACATCTCGGGAAACTCAGAGCAATGTTACAGCTGTGAAGAACTCCGTACATAAGAAATTTCCTTATTTTATTTGTTATTTTTTATTACTGTTCTTTATTTTTTGTTTGTTTGTTTTTAACTATAATGCTTGCACAGACTAACATGGCTTTCTCTTCTACAACTGCCCTATGAAACAATCCATTTCACCTCTTCATAGTTCTGTGAAGATACAGTACTGTACTGGCTGGAATCCAGTAGGAAGTAGCAAGTAAAGTAGTCCCATTAAATCAATGCAACTAGAGGAGTTGACTCACTAAATGTCTATTGATTCAGCGAACCTACTCTAGTTGTGAGCCACTACTGGATTTTAGCTAATGATTCCCTGCTTGTTCAGTAAAAGAAAAGACTAGATAGGTCAAGCCAGGGGACCTGTTTACAACTGGAGTATTTCCTCCCCAGTTACATAGCAAATCAAAAGGAAAATGTTTGAAGTATAAAGGCTGGTGTTACCTTTTCATTGCAGCTACAGTGCACAATCTTAGACTGTAAGTGTTCTTAAATGCCGCTCATGTAAGGACTCAGAGACTAGTAGGACAAGGAAACCCAAGAGCCAGTAATGCCAGGTATCAGCTGTAACAGATGTCTACTATGTCATAGAGAATATTTACTACCTATCAAGCAGATTTTTTAATGCTATGATTTAAAATGCATATTTAAAATAAAATGCATATTTAGTGGTTTCAAATTCAACTAGCATCCATTTGTGGATATCTCACTCAGCATTCAAGAAGTACATTTACCCAATAAGATTTTGAGTGTATGCCTACATATGCCCTACACCCAAATTCTCATAACAGAGTCCACATTACACCAGGCCATTAAATTTATCACTGTTGTGAAACATGACATGAATTTTAGTGACCCTGGATAGCCAAATAACTTGTTTTATATTTTCTCAGAAGCTGTTGACAGCAGTACTTTCTAACCACACATTATGTTCTTGACCTATAAAGAGATTAGGCCAAATGCTCAGACATCCACAGCTTGCCAGCAAGCCTCTTGGCTTCTTTTAATCTTGGCATTATTTTAGACTACACAGTTTTTGTACACTTCCAAAGTTTTTAAAGAATTCTAATAAATAAACACCACAGTGCTTTACCATTTCAAGCATGCCGATAATAATAATGAATTATAGGTAAAAATTACGGAGACTAGATGGATCAAATGCTAAATCGCAGGGATGTGTGCTCTATAGCAGCTATTCTGATATCAGAGAGTGCTGAGGATGAGCCTTTGACCCTCAGAAAATAGGAATGATATGAGAGTAGTGGAGAAAGAGACATAATTTCCACTCGCATGCAATGGTGTGGGACTTGCTTGCTAATGTACAGTCTCGTGGGAGCAAGTAGATGAGCAGCCAGCTGGGTGCAGGTCTTTCCTACCCAATTTATGTCATACTTACTTATTCAGTGATGACTTGGTGGGAAAAGACAGTATTATTTCAGAGTAGGATGGATCACACCACACGGAAGTGCTATGCTATTATGAATACATAGGGATGGAGCCTGTAGGTCATACAAATGACTGCAGGATAAATATGTGAACAAGCACAGTGGCCTAATATTTGGGATATATCAACTACAAGTGGTTCATGCCAATTTAATTGCCCAGTTGATCAACTGGCAGAACAATAAATCCTGGCCAGTGGCCACATCAGCTGCTTTGCCCTGATAAGTTCTGTTATGATATAGAATTAGAAGTCACAAACCAAATGTTTACATTATTCCAGGACTAAGTTCTATTTTTATTAACCCCTGTTAAGGGCACATAAAGAATCTGTTCTAATGACTCTCATTAAGGGCATCTCAGGAACCTTGTGCAATCCCTAAAATTCAAAATCATTTAAAAAAAAATAAAAGTCATACATATGTCTGCTTCAAGACAGATAAGAAGAAAAAGGTTTACAGCCCAATAGGTGTTATTTGTGAAGACTCTAGTGGTTCGCTTCTCTTTTAACTGATTGCTCTTCCCTGACATTTTCATCTAAATCTCACATACACACCTCAAGAAAAACTTTATGATACTCACCATGGAATTCATGGCAAAGTGGTTATGCTGTGTCTGTAAATCAAGGGCATGTTGGTAGCTCACTCCAATTTCAGTATGGCTCTGGAGGAATAACTCTTTGTTGTGGCTGATCCAGTCAAACATCTGAAAAATAAAGGAAATGTCATGGCTAAAAGGAGGAGAAACCTCGTTTTGGTCAGAGATCTGTTAGCAGCTGATGGACCCTTTGTTCTTTAACTGAGAGCTACAATTGAAAAGGAGGTTGTGGCACATATGTTAAACGAATCCAGTAAGGCAGAATCCTTGGGCCTCCAGGTGTTCTTGGACTTCCACTCCCAGAAATCCAGGCCAGCAGATGTGGTGGTGAAGGCTTCTGGGAGTTGTAGTCCAAGAACATCTGGAGGCTCAAGGTTGGGGACCACTGCTGAGTAAGGCACAACTGACAGGATTGCTCTGAATCTCTACAGTGTTCTAGGTCATACTACGTTTTCCCCAAATTATTCCAAACACCCCAGTAGGGTTCCCACCTCTCTCTTAAAATATATATGACAGTGGCATGTAAATCCTCAAAGGTTTACATCGACAAATAGGAAAACTTAGTAAGAAGCTTTCTATAAATTAATAAGGTTTCATTAAGTAGGAAAGCTGGCTGGATAGCTCAGTGTTTAAGGTATCTGGCTGCGGAGTTCAATCCCCTAGGAGAAGTGCCAGCCTGTGTAGCCATGGGCAGTCTGTACAGTCCCGGGATGCCCTCAGAAGAAGAGAATGATAAACCACTTCTGAGTATTCTCTACTTGGAAAGGGTTGCCATAAGTCAGAATTGATG